AGCTGGATACTAACTCCCAGTGGATGTGACAATTAAAGGATGAAAGGGACTTTGCCACAAAAGGCCTGAGATGAGGTTAGGTTAGTAGGGGAGGGAGAGCATTCCAGGCAGAGGGAGGAAAACATGCCAGGCCTTGCTGGCTAGGAGGGCGGGTGGTTCAAGGACCTGCAAGAGGGAGTGGGTGGTATTCAGTGAGGCGTTTATGCCAAGTGCAAGGTAAGACCGTGGAAGGGCTCTCTGCAAGAGAGAAACTCAGTAGATTTGTCTTTTAAAAAGCATACTCTGGCTGGGGAATGCAAAATGGATTGGGGTGGGGGATGCATGAATCCAGTTAGACATGTCTTACAGGCAGAGTGTGAGGCAGCTGGTACAAGGGTGGTGGCAACGTGAGAGGAGAGAAGACTGGTGACTGACTGGATATGGAGTGCGGTGACGCAAAGGGAGAGTCTAGGTAACCGCACAGGTTTACAGGGCAGCAACTGCGTGGATGAAGGTGCCTTTTACTAAGAAGGGAATAAACCCTGGAGAAGGAACAGGTTTGAAAGAGAAGATCAAGGTAACATATAAGACCCCCACATAGAGGTGTTCAAGTCACGCAACCATAATGACATTCAGAAATCTATAAAAAATGGCATGAATTAATGTTTTAAAATGTGTGTTCTAGAACTAGCTTAAGACATGACAGCACACTTCTTAATTATGTGTTTAAGTGAGGTAATGGAGATAGGACAGGGGTGTGTAGGGGGTTGAACTGTATCCTCCAAAATAGGATAATGAAGTCCTAACCTCCCAAAACCTTAAATGTAACCTTATTTAGAAGTAAGGTCTTGGCACACATAATCAAGTTGAGGTCCTACTGGATTACAGTGGGCCCTAAATCCAACAATCCAATCCTGATATCTGTATAAGGAGAGGGACATTCGGAGACACAGAAAGACAATGGAGAGAAGGTCATACGAAGACACAGGCAGGGACTGGCATTATGCTGCCACAAGCCAAGGAACACCAGGAAGCCACCAGGTGCTGGAAGAGGCAAGAAAGGATTCTTTCTTAGACCCTTCTGAAGGGGCCCCTGCCAACACCTTCACTGGACTTCTGGCCTCAAGAACTGTGACATAGTAAATTCCTATTGTTTTAAGCCACCCCGTTTGTGGTACTTTGATACAGCAGCTGTGGGAAACTAATACAGGGAAGAAAATTTTGCTTTTAGCTTTAAGCAAAATTGGGAGGGAAGGCCTAAGCTAGATATAAAGGACTAAATTAGAATAATAAGACAGTTAACTACCTTACAAAATAAATATTCTGGGGGTTTGAACCTATTTAGGTATTGGATTCACTTTTTGTATTTTAAAACTAGGAACCCGTAAGGCTGTACATGTAGGTGTAGTTTGTAATTAGGCAATTATAACAAGTTATTATTGGACACAAATGGATACTATAGTAAGTTATTATTCATCAAACTGTGGGTACAACTCAACCTATTACTTTTATAATACAACATTACTGTTATTACTGTGTCAGGTCGGACAGATCTGTACATCTGTACATCTACTCTGAAGGCAAAGCTGATTTAGTGTGCCATCACTCCAGTACAGCGGTTCTCAGCTGGGAGCTATTTTGCCCTCAAAAATGCCCAGAGAGATTTTTGATTATCACAACTGAAGAGAGGTGCTACTGGCAAACAGTGGGTAGAGACCAGTGATGCTGCTAAAACATCTACATTGCACAGGACAGTCTGCCCCCAACCCCAACAAAGAATCATCAGGCCAAAAATGTCAACAGCGCCAAGGTTGAGCAGTCTACTCTGGTACCCAGGTAACTTCTAGTCAAAGCTTCAAATACCAAAGAGTTCTCACCCTCATTTAGAGTAGTAAAACTAATCACGTATCCTTCTGATATTTAGTAGAACAGAGTGACTCACAAGCAGCCCAGAGCTATCAAAAACTTTAAACTTTTAAAGAGCCAGGCACAGTAGTACGTGCCTGTAGTCCTAGCTACTGAGGGGATTGAGGTGGTGGGGGTCGCTTGAGGCCAGGAGTTTGAGGCTATCATGTGCTATGAGTGCATCTGTGACTAACCATTGCACTCCACCCTGGACAACACCGTGAGATTCACTTCTAAAAAGTTTTAAAAATTAAACTTTCTTTTAATATTCTAAAAAAATAAAAATTCTTGTCCTCGAAGACAGCCCCATGACCACTAACCAAGCCCAGTTCTGCAGGGACTAGCAGTAATATGGGCTCTTGCAAAGCTGACAGGGGCCACACACCTCAACAATCGATGGGACATGCTCAGCATAAACCGTCTGCCAGTTGGGACTGGGGGAGGAAGAGTAACTGTCCTCCCAAGCAGCCTCCCCTAGTAGCTGGGAAGCCTCCCTGAAGCTGAAAACCCCTGGAGATCCAGCAGCTAAGCTTCTAGACTGAAGCCTGGAATTAAAATTAGGCAGCGGTTGGTTAGATCGGTCCTAAAGAGCTGGCAAAGGTTAATTATCCTTTATCTGTGCCTCATAGCCAAGCCTAAATTATTGCCTTGCTTAGAGCTGTTGTATCTCCTTTGCTGCCGCCTCTGGCATGCAAAGCATTTGCAGTTGACTCCTTAAAGCTATAGTGTAAATACGGCTGTGCATACTGTACATTTTTAATCAAGACTGCTTATCGAGCTTCTGTGGTCTGCTTGTCACCTCACCACATATTCAGGACATAAACAAGTTGGGCCTCCAATGCTATTCCCTAAGTTAAGAGCACCCTAGAAATATGATAAACCAATTGTTAAGGCAAGAAAATCCCAGTTTTGGAAAAGGCAAAATTAGGTACTCAGGTTGCCCACTCCATTGGAGCTATATATCTTGCTCTTTCTTTTATTAACAACACAAGTTCAAATATACCCAAGTAAATAAATGTGGGATAGCTAGGAGAACAGCATTAAATATAATGGCAAAACCACCTGTGGAGGGCAAAGTACACTGCTAAGTAGGATACAATATATATCATAATTCTAACTTTCAAAACATCTGTATTTGTTGAGTAGTTCTCTGTAAGAACAAGAATAAAAGTTGCACTATATTGGTTTAAATACCCTTAATGTTCTCACCATCACCAAAATCATAATAATCAAAACTACTTTTATATCTAAAATTGTCTTGGTACTATTAATATACATTTTATCATTTAAATCAGAAATTTAGATAAAGTTCTTGGTCCATTGAGACAGAACAAATATTTCAACAGCTGGAAGATGTTAAAAGTTCTGGCATTTGAAGAGACATATATAATTACTCTCCCCTAAAACAAAACATCTTGAAGAAAGCCAAGGAAACAGGCTATCTCACAGGAAACCAAAAAAAACATAAAAACACAAAAATTATAATTCTTCTCCAATCTTTATAAAATCTACTTAGCTACTAGAACATTTAGACTATTCCAGGTAAAAGAACTAATTTCTCCTAGGAGATATGAAAACACTATTTCCTGAAATATAAAAAATAATTATCGGCATTTTAATGTATTTATCATTGTCATATTATGGCAGACCATACAAAGTTTTCATTTCAGCTAGACATCCAAGCAGCTGAAATAATTAAAAATATGGTCTGATTAAAAGGAGCCAAAATAAAAGCCCAATCTATTTAAATTAATTTGAATTTTCAAGCTACAAAGTCAGCAACTCAGAAATAGCATTTAAACAATATTTTGGCTGGTCACAGTGGCTCACGCCTGTAATCCTAGCAATCTGGGAGGCCGAGACGGGTAGATCGTTTGAGCTCAGGCGTTCGAGACCAGCCTGAGCAAGAGTGAGACCCCGTCTCTACTAAAAAATAGAAAGAAATGATCTGGACAACTAAAAATATATATATAAATTAGCCGGGCATGGTAGCGCATGCCTGTAGTCCCAGCTACTTGGGAGGCTGAGGCAGAAGGATCGCTTGAGCCCGGGAGTCTGAGGTTGCTGTGAGCTAGGCTGACGCCACAGCACTCTAGCCCACGCAACAGACCAAGACTCTGTCTCAAAAAAAAAAAAAAACCAAACAATACTTTATTTTGTATTTTCATAAGGATCTGTTTCTATGATTCTCTTCACCTTGCCTACACTGTATCCCATGAACTACCCTGCTCCCATCATGTACCATTACTTCAGCCCATCATCATTTCCTTCATATGTGGACATAACATACCACAGATTTATGTTTTTACTCTAAATTCATATTCTAGGAAAGATGGAACATTTATGTAAGTCTAGCAGGAAGATGTCTTACAACCTTACATGTACGGAGTACGTTTAATAAAGAATGTTCCCTGGAGAAAGGCAGAGCTGAGGGTGTGTGCGTGTGTGTGTGTGTGTGTGTGTGCATGTGTTTTAAGAATGGGAATGGTTTGAAAGAAGAAATTCTGTAAAGAAAAGGCTTCAACAGTATTCCTCCTGGACATCTCCCTAGAGCTGGACATGAATACACAACCAGAAGTCCAAAGTGAAGAACAAACACTCTGCCATTCAACTTCCATTCAGCTGTTTCATTTAGACGGGAGTGTGGCTAACACCTTCCCAGTCACAGAGGAACTTCTGGACTAACAATCATTATGGGCAGTTGATTTCGAATTAAGTTACTAGGAGCACTGGAGCTGCCCCCTAGCCTATTATCAACCGGACCAATGTTAATCTGTTATACACAAAGGTTCTATGGCAGAAGTTTGAAAAACACTGGGTAAGAACATAAGAGTGTTACCTTCCCAGGGATATGAGAATTGAATGATAAAAAGGTGCAAAATGCTTAGAACAGTGGATTGCATGCTGCAAAATCTCAATAGAGGTTGGCCAGAATTATGATGCTGATGATTCAAGTCTTAACTATAGAGGTAATTTAAGCACAGATGCAATTGCAATTCAATATGTAGGAACTATAGGTCCAACATCTCTAGCTTTTAAAGGATGATCATTCCAACAGGCATTTGAATTACAGAACTTTGAAACTGGATATCTAGCCAGCAACAACAAAGACTTACCTCTTCTTCTTGGTGATAATGAGCACGTCATTAAACAGAAAGAAGTAGACTTGTTGTTTGGATGTCCTTTTTGAAAAAAGCACAGTGTCTTCCACGTAGGCTGTCAACTCACCTCTTTTTATCAACCACCGGGAAGAGGAGACTAAAGGAAAAGGCTACAAAAAGAGAAAAACTCAGTGTCCAAAGCCAAATTAAAGTTTTTTTAAGATTATAGAAAGTAAAGTATAACACTTACATTCAAATGAATTTATATATTATGGTATGCATCATTATTTTATAGGCATATATTAATAACACCGAAATAAACTACAAGTACAGTGCATTTTCCAAGAAAAAATGAAAAAGAACAATTTATCTTCCAATGTAAAAAAATACTAACTTGCCAATATGCAACTAAAACTCAATGAGAAACTGTTATTGGCTCAATCAAAAATTGTGACCCTTCTACTAACTCTCAACTGAAAAAGAAGACTGAAGTAAGCAGTCACATAAAATTGAAAAGCCTGGTAATGAAATCTACCAGTATGAACTTCACTTATTTTAAATATCTCAAATCAGAATCTAAACATACAGAAAAACATAGATAACTATAAGATAACTAACGAGAGACAAATAATAATGTCTGCATTTACATTATGAACTAAAAAGGCTTTCTCAAGAGGAATAAAACTCTACAAACTTATGTTTTATCTATTGATTATCTGCTTAGCCATATTCTTAAGAACACCTGTTGTTAATAAGTTTATGATAGTTTTTCTCATGGAAGTTCATCCCTGAAAACATGCCACTTTTTAGCTGTGAAAATAAAGTTCTTCCCCAATAATCCATCATAAACCCATAGAAAAGGCAGTATCCCAGGAATTGCATAGTCTTTTTTTCTTTATTCAGTCTCGTACAAGCCAAATGGAAAACTCTCAAAACCACAGAATAATCTTTACCCTTGAGAGCTCTTTTTTTTTTTTTTTTTTGAAGTTACCAAAAATGTTTACTGCCCAAAATCTGGTTTAAAAGACTATACTCATAAAATAGCAAAGACCATCAAATGTCATCCTTTTCAGGAAATAATGATTAAAAATAGCTAAAGGAAATTGAAGATATTTGAGAGGAAATGAGAAGGCTAAGAAAGGATTTCATATTTTTTTAAAACTATATCAAAGGCTTTCATAAGAAGGTTGCTCGTTAGTTAGATACTATTTTCCTGAAGGTTTAAAAGGTAAGATAAAAGATTATGGCTAACCCCGAGGTTTTCACAACTGGCTATTAAGAGAGTTCATGAAGTTTCCAGCTCCAAAAATCTCAAATCAGACAATTAACCAACAGGGACAGCTGAGACCTTAAAGGTCAACAGACAGAGAGACTGCTTAAATAACTCTGGAGAACCAGTCCGCACACACAAGAGGTCACCACAAACACTTCTGTGTCAGGCTGGGTCCTGCCGCAGGGCTGTAATTATAGGAAACTCAGGGCTATCTCGCTATTGTGTGTAACCCTACAAGATGAACCAAGGACAGTATTATGGTTAAGTTCCAGTGTACATGCTACCCTCTGACTGTTCTTAGTTTAGAGGATGGGGAAGAAAGGTTTTTCAATTGTTTTATTATTTTCAAAGTACATTGACTTTTATGGACTCCTCACACATCACCAGGCAAAACTAAATTTCTACGTAAATGCCTAGAATTGACAGTGGCTTTCAATACTGTCTATGCTTCTTTTCAAAACAAAAATCTGATATTGTAAGTGGTTTATGTTTCAAAGTTATTATTAGACGACTGAACTTATTCGGATAGGTTTTCTTAAAGAGACTATTAAAATGACCAAACTAAAAGAAATCAAAACCACCCAAAGTGAGCATAAGTGAATTCCTCTAGTAAGGAAGCTCTGAGACTAGAATCCAGGTGTGAAACTAGAAAAGAAATTCACAAACAAGGCCTAAACAGTACTGAAGTAATGACTTTTCACTCTTTTTTGTGTCACTCAGCATCCTAGAAAAGCAGCCTGAGCATAAGATATAACTAATTTTACGGGGCAGCAAGAAAAGGAAGAGCTTCTGAAGAGCAAATACTTTTTTACAAAAATTGAGATAAAATTTACATAAAATCCACCATATCACCACTTCAAAGGGTACATGTAATTCAATGGCTTTTAGTACATTCACAATGTCATGCAATGATCGCCACTATCTAACTCCAGAACATTCTCATTACCTCAAAAAGAAACCCCATATGCATTATTCCCCACATGCAGTCACTCCCATTCCTCCTTTCCCAAGCACGTGGCAACCACTGATCTAACTCTGAATTGGCCTATACTGGACACTTCATATAAATGGAATTACACAATATGTGACCTTTGAATCTGGTTTCTTTCACTTAGCATGTTTCCAAGGTTCGTCCATGTTGTAGCATGTATCAGAACTTTATTCCTTTTTACAGCTGAGTAATATTTCATTATATGGATATACCATATTTTGTTTATCAGTTCATCAGTTGATTTGGGTTATTTCCACTTTTTTGGCTATTATGAATAATGTTGCCATGAAGAGTCATGTATGAGTTTTTGTTTGAATACCTCTTTTCAGTTCTCCTGGGTGTGGAACTGGTGGGTCATTTGGTAATCCTGTTTAACTTTTCAAGAAACCACGAGACTGTCTTCAACATAAAGACTTTTTACCACATTAGAGATCTTCACTTGGTTATTTCTTGGACTTCTATTCATTAGCAAGGCCCCCACACAGCAACCCTTCTACCGACCAACACACCACCACCCTACTCAATCACGGTTTATGGCTTGCGGGGTAGCCTGAGAATCCTCAACTTTTCCATGTGCATATTTTCAAGGTCAAACTTTCTATCACAAGACAAAAAATAATTCTTCCCTATTTTATAGGGGCAATTTTTAGAAAATGCTGTGATCTAGAAGGAAAAAACTCTGGATTTGAGGCACCAACTAATCTCTGGTCTTTGATCATCGTGGTTTGGCAACCAGCTTTTTCTCTACAACCATCACTTCTTTCCTCCCATCTCAGAGTATGAGCTCTCCTGCTCAACACCTTGCTTGCAACTCTAAGACCTTATTCCGTTGATTTCCCCCCTCTCATTAGCATTGTCTCCCTCCTGGCTTCCTTTGTGCAACCTACAGGATATCCTGAAGACTATTCACTAAAATGGTCCCTCAACTTTGTGTCCCCTCTAGTTATTATCACTGGCCTGTCCTCTTTACAGTCGAGCTTCCTGAATAAAATCCTGTTTAAACTGTTTCACATCCCATTCACTCTGCAACGTGCCCATTATGCCTACGAAACTATTCCAACACAGCTTCTCAATAGTCTTTACTGTTTGCTTATTATGAATCAGGTCTGTTTCAAGTCCTTTATATCTCTTAAACAATTTAATCTTCATAAGAACTCCATAAGGGAAAGTACTATTATCAGACTCATTTTATGGTTCAGAAAACCAAGACTTGAAAGGGTAAGTAATACCCAAGGTTGTATTGTTAGTATACTAGTAAGTGGTGCAGCTACTATCACAACTCAGGCAGGCCAGCTCCAGAGCCTCCAGAGCCTATGATCTTAATTTATACTGGCTTCCTAGTGCCAGTCCAGGCATGCCTTCCACCCTCCCTAATATTACCACTGTTTAGTACATGACACTCTTCCACAAACTTACAAACTTAAAAATGAAAAATGTGTGTGTTTATGCATACACATACGCCCCCCACGCACGTAAATTTTATTTCCCTCCAAATTAGAAAAAGATCCACATTATTATACTGTCATTGTTAAGAATGTGGACTCTGCAGTCAAAGGTTTGAATCCAGACTTCGCTACATCTTGATGTATGACCTTGGGCAAATTATTTAATCTCTCTAGCTTCAGATTCTTCATCTATAAAGTGGAGGTAATAATATTACATAGAACACTTCATAGGGTTCTTGTGAGAATGAAATGAGACTACATGAACATGGCATACAGTAAATAACTCAACCAGCATTCTCATAGTAACAGCAGCTATATAAGTAGCAGCCATAGTTGTACCATAAACGAAATATGGCCAAAATTGAACTTCTTGCCTTTCCCCCAACTTGTTCCTCCTCCTGGATTCCCCATCTAAGTGATGGTGTGATTCCACCCAGCAGCCACAGAAGGCTTGGGGACACCATCGCCACTGGCCTGCTCCAGGCACCCTGTGTGAGAGTCTCTCCAGGTCTGCTGCCCATCTCCTAAATGGCCTTCTGTCTTGGTCGTATTACTTCCCAACTCAACCTTCACACAGCTGCCGCAAAAAAAATTTTTAAATAATAAATTCAATACTGTAGTGGTGGCAGAGGAGGGTGTTAAAAAAAAAAAAGCAAGTACTATAAAAAAGTATTAAGTGAAAAGTCTTCCCACTCTATTCCTCATCCATCCAGTTCTGCTCGCTAACCACTGCCCCACCCCCCGCCTCGGGGAATTACTGATAACTAATTTCTTCTGTAACTTTCCAGAGGTTTCTTATGCAAAAGCAAATTTTGTGTTTTATAATTTCTGTATGAGGACATTATGACTATTTAAAGTGAGTGAGTGTGTGTGTATGCGTGTGTGTTGTTTTTAGCAAGTACACATCATCTTCTGTTTTATGGATCGAGTTTCTGCATCTAAACTATTACAGGCAGGGTGTTATGGTAGAAGAGTCTACAGTGACCTGCCAGTCAGGACGCCTGGACCCTAGTCCTGATTTTACCACTGCTAGCCAAGTGAGTCTGCCGACAATTATTTTCTGGGCTTCTTTTCCTCATTTATAAAATGAAAGGGTGTAGCTATACTATGTCTATGGTCCTCGAACTGTATGACATGGCAGAGAATCTTCTCTCAATAGAATACCACGGAGTGCTACTCACTATAATTCTACTGACGGAATTAGAAACACTTTCAATAGGGAAAAATATGACCAGTCATTTAAAATTGCTTAATTAAATTTATGTGTTATAAAACTAAATAGAATCAATCTCAAGCACTCACATCCATTAAGAACTAAGCTGTGAGCCAACAAAGGACTAGCCATGACCTAGATTTGCCATTAACCGTCATCCTCTTCTTCTTTGTTCATCTTGTCATCTGCTCAAGAGCAGTATTAAACAAGAAGTAACAAGCAGCACATATTCAAAGAAGAGCCACAGGAGAAAAACAAACTTGAAAAGAACTGTCCATTAATGATCTGCTTTGCAAATGGGAAAAGAGGTGTCCTTATTTGATTTAGGAGAACACCCTGGTTCAGCTCACGGGATACCATTGGTTTTCAGGACATTTTGAGAATACTGAAGAACTCTCCTTTCAATTCTAAAATTCTATTATTTTAACTACACTTTCTCCCACATTTGGTGTCTTCCTGGAAAAAAAATATGTGCTTTTTAGATGATACCTAACTTCACGATGTGAGAAATGTCACTTTGTCTGGTGCAAGCAAGAGCAGAATTGCCCAAAGCATCTGCTACTCCTGCCAGCCTCTCTCTAACCAATTTATGACCCTTCTTTGAAAAGCAAACTCCTATCCGCTTTGTTGCCCTCAACTATCTCTATTTAGATAAGACTTAAGCAAAAGCAACTAATAAACATAGGTAAGAGAATACCTTAATTTTAAATTCCAGCTGGGAATTAATTGTGTACATCATCTCGGTCCTTTCCATCTTCCGGGCTCCTTCATTGCACAGTCGAACCAACTGGGAACAGATAGTCAGGAGAGTTAAAGGTCAAGGAGAGGTACCTCACTTTCAAAAGCAGATTTCCCTCCCAGGAAATAATTAGCACTTGGGAAGCCCCAGAGACTCGTAAATGCTCTGTATTCACACTCTTTTTGCTGAAAATAATGATATTGTTTTCCCAGAATCTATAAAACCCCATCAGTAACCCTCACAAATGAAAAAGAAGATTAATTCTTGAGCTGGCTATATTCGTGATTTCAGTTTCCATATAACACTAGCAGACTGGGGGAATAACTCTTGATATTCACGACTTATGCTCAAGAGAGAGAAAGAAATGCTGCCTTACAGAGAAAACAAGTCCCTGGGACTGCATCTCTTCACATGACGGCCTTTCACGTACTTTTAGTATAAAGGTAGAGCAATTCACTTGCCCAATACATCTTTGTCAGCCTTTCCGGAAAGTACCAATATGAAATCAAGTGAACAGGAGATTCCTAAAGGAACACAGTAGTCTACTGTAACTGGGATGTCAAATTCTTGAAAAAAATTAAGTAACATTCCTGGTTTAATTCAACAAACAATTACTACTACCTTCCTATTTTCTCTTCTGTGCAAATTCTTTCTTTTCAATTTCTCAGTAACAACCAAGCAGAATTTGTCAAAATCTCTCTTACGTCCAAGGTTAGAACTTCTCTAGTAGCTTTTCCTAAAGGTCCTCTCTCCCCAACTTCTCCTCTAGGGAGGCAGCACAGGATTTGCAGTACTGGAGGAGAGAGACCCTCCTGAGCAGTAGGATGTCAGGTAACTTCCCCTCCTTTGCCTCATAGGTAAATTATTCCAAAAGCGATAATAGCAAACATTCACCAATCCCTTATTAGGTGCCAGGCACTACAGCAAACACTTAAATGCATTTTCTCAGGTAAGCCCTTCAACCACCCCATGATAAATGTATTTATGTGCTATCATCATTTGCACTGAACTGATCAGGAAACTGGGGTTCAGAGATTGAGTAACTTGTGTGAGTTCACACAGCTGGTAAGTGGTCAGGCTGGGAATTGTGCAAAGGCAGCTTGATTTTCTGCATCCAAGGTCAGGCTGTTTTTTCTCTTAGTGTTTTCCAAAGTGGGTCTGCAGACCACTGATGAGAGAAGAGATGAATTTAAGTGGCTCCCAGATATATTTATTTTTAATATAAAGATGTATATTAGAATCATAAACAACTACCTCATAAAGCCCATGATTTTGTATTAATAATTATTACTAGGAAGGACGAGAATAAGTAACATAATGAGTCAATTTAAAGTTGATTAAAAGAAACAGTACTTCACAGTAAAGTGGTACAAAGACATACCAAACTCAAACGGGGGTATGTAGCTGCAGACATTTAGGAAGCTTCTGATGCTATCACTATCTTTGCTCCTCTGTGCCTGGCTATACAGTGTCCTCAGTCACTCCTGTGCCTTCTTTTGCTGCCTCTCAGCTAGATATTCCTATCAGTAGCTGACCACACCCACATTTTTCTAATCTTAAAATAAATAAACAAAGACCCTTCCACCCTTCCCTTTCAGCTACAGCTCTTTCTCTTTCCACTCCTGCCTGATTCTTGGAACAGCTAGCTACCACGGCTGGCCGGCTGCACACTCACACCTCCCTCATTCCTCAACGCATTCCACCCTGGTTTCCACACTCACCAAGAACACAATCTACGTGATGGCAAACCCAATGAACACTGCCATCATTATATCCCTTTATCTTCCAGGAGCATTCAACAGGGTTGATCATCAAATTATCCGCCTTTTGCCAGGCCATTATGGTTTTCCTTCTTCTCTGGTATGTTTTATTTTGTTTTGTTTTTTTAAGTATCCTTTGGGGCTCCTTTTCCCTAAATAAGACCAGGAATGTTGGCATTCCTCAGGGTTGTGTCTCAGACTCCTTGCTCTCTCATTCTACATACTTTCTCTAAGTAATCTCATCCACTCTCCAGCTTCAGGTATCATCCCTATGCTGATGGCTCTCAAATCCCATTTCTAATTCAGGTCTCCCCTCAGAACTCTGACTTGTTTATTCAGCCAGCTTGGATGTCCTATAGGAATCTCAATTACAACATGTCCAAATTGAAAGTCATCAGCTTCTCACTATGTTCCTATAGTAGATAAATTAGAGGATCCACCTCATTGTCCAAGCCAGAGACCATATTCCTTGACTTCTGTCCCCAAATGTGCTCACCCAATCAATCCCCGAGCCTACCTCCCCAATATATAGGTGGACTTCTCTCCACTTTACCATCACATCAGTAGAGGCCCCGACACCTCTTGTCTAATCAACTATAACTGGCCTCATAACTAGTCCCATCCCCATTGTCATCTTCATAACACACGAATTTACACCTTCCACGTCATCTTAGGATAAGACCTCCAATTCCCTAATATGTGTAACAAGGCCCCACACAACTGGCTTCCCACTACGTGCTCTCACTCTCTTAGACTGGGTTCTAGTCACTAGAAGAACATTCTGGTTCTTCAAATTCTCCAGTGCTTTCTTGCCTTTGAGTTTCTACACACACCTGAGACATGCTCTTTTCCCCAATTCCTAGCTTGCAGCCACTCTTGCATTACATCTCTGCTTAGCCACCACTTTGACTTCTCTATTATGTTGCCAACCACCACTAATTGTAATTCTATTTAACGTCTGCCTTCTTCACACTGTACATTCCACCAGCACAGTAACCACATCTATCTCATTCATCACCCAATGTATAGGGGTTGGCATTGTGCCTGGCACAGTGGTTAATACTTAATAAATACTTATTGAATAAAAAAACTTCAGTAAAGTTGCAGGACACAAAATCAACATATAAAAATCAGTAGCATTTTTATATGCCAACAGTAAACAATCCAAAAAAGAAGCCAAGAAAGTAATCCCATTTACAACAGCTACATATAAAATAAAATACCTAGGAATAAGCTTAACCAAAGAAGTGAAAGATTTCCATAATGAAAACTATAAAACATTCATGAAAGAAATTGAAGAGGACACCAAAAAATGGAAAGATATTCCATGCTCGTGGATTGGAAAAATCAATACTCTTACACTGTCCATACTACCAATCTTCAATTCAATTTGATGTAATCCCCATCAAAATACCAATGAAATTCATCACAGAAATAGAAAAAAAATTCCTAAAATTTATGTGGAACCACAAAAAAACCAGAATAGCCAAAGCCATCCTGAGCAAAAAGAACAAAATTGGAAGAATCACATTACCTGACTTCAAATTATACTACTGAGCTATAGCAACCAAAACAGCATGGTACTGGCATAAAAACAGACATATAGGCCAATGAAAGAGAATACAGAACCAGAAATAAATCCACATTTCTTAAGTGAACTCATCTTCGACAAAGGTTCCAAGAACATACAGTAGGGAAAGGACAATCTCTTCAATAAATGGTGCTGAGAAAACTTGATATTCATATGCAGAAGAATGAAACCAGACCCTTATGTTCACCATATACAAAAACCAAATCCAAATGGATTAAAGACTTAAATTTAAGACCTGAAACTATGAAACTACTAAAAGAAAACATTGAGGAAACACTTCAGGACATTGGTTTGGGCAATGATTTCTTGAGTAGTATCCCCCAAACACAGACAACCAAAGCAAAACTGGAAAAATGGGATCACATCAAGCTAAAAAACTCCTGTATTGCAAAGCAAACAATTAACAAAGTGAAGAGACAACCCCAGAGTGGGAGGAAATATTTGTAAACTACCCATCTGATGATGGATTAATAATTAGAATATATAAGGAGCTCCAACAACTCAACAGGAAAAAAATCAAATAATCTGATTTAAAAATGGGCAAAAGATTTGAATAGACATTTCTCAAAAGAAGACATACAAATGGCCAACAGGTATAAGACAAAATGCTCAACATCATTAATCATCAAAGAAATGCAAATCAAAACTATAATGACATATCATTTCACCCCAGTTAAAATGGCTTTTACCAAAGACAGGCAATAACAAGTGCTGGTGAGGATGTGAAGAAAGGGGAACCCTCATACACTGTTGGTGGGAATGTAAATTACTGCAACCACTATGGAGAACAGTGTGGAGGGTCCTCATAGAACTAAAACTAGAACTACCATACAACCCAGAAATCCCACTCCTGGGTATATATCCAAAAGAGAGTAAATCAATATATCAAAAAGATATTTGCACTTCCATGTTTATTGCAGCACTATTCACAATAGCCAAGATTTGGAATCAACCTAAGTGTCCATCAACAGAAGACTGGATAAAGAAACTGTGGTACACATACATGACGGAGTATTATGTAGCCAAAAAAGAATGAAATCCTGGCATTTGCAACAAGAAGTGTGGAACTGGAGAATATTATGTTAAGTGAAATAAGCCAAGCAAAGAAAGATAAATCTTTCATGTTCTCACTCATCTGTGGGAGCTAAATATTAAAAACAATTGATCTCCTAGAGACAGAGAGTAGAATGATGGTTACCAGAGGCTGGGAAGAGTAGTGTGTATGTGTGTGTGTGGGGCGGTTAATGGGTGCAAAATAAATAAAATTGCAAATAAATAAATATTTACTGAATGAGAAATGAATAAACAACTACTTAGACATCAAATGAAAATGAGATATCTTTCGGCTCTCAAAGCAAAACTGTCTGAAACAGTGAAAAGGCCAATTTCATTTTAGTACAACACATATTATTTTGTTTTTCAACTACGTAAAGAATGCTGTGCAAATGGCTGTCAGAATCTACCAGTTTACAGCATCAAGCCAACAAACACTGTCTTCTGAGGTATCTGAATGGTTTGCTGTCTGGGGAGCTACACAGCAGTTACCTTGCTCACTTCTTTTAAGGCCCTTTTGCAGACTTCGTACTTCGGAGAGTCCTTAGGTGTTTTTTGACAGATAGTCTGTAATGAATTAAAAGTGTATAAAATCAATGGATTTATTTCATTAAGTAAAATAAAACCAATGATCAGCCATATTCTCTTACTCACAGCAAATTTAACAATGCTGAACACAATATCATGGATGAGTATGAGAACAACATTAAAATCCAATTAAAAAAACAGGAAATAATCTTTAAACACACAGTCCAAGTAAATCCAGGGAATGGTTGATAAAAAGATAGAACTCAGACGCAGGTAAGCTGGTTTCAGATATCAGGTCTTCCCTTTACGAGTTATTTGACCTTGGGCAAATCACCAACTCTACCTTTATAAGCCTCAGTTTCCCCATCTGTAAAATCAGGGCAATGCCAACTATATCACAAGGTTGTTGCAAGGGTTAAATGATAATTTATATAAAATTCTTTATGAGTGCCTGGCATACAGTAGGCCCTCAATAAATAAGAGTTACTTTAATTATCACCATCATAATGGCTATTATCAGAGGTGACTGTGTTTGTAGATGATACAATATGAATAAGAAGAGCAAGGAAAAAAAAAGGCTGGTAGGTTTTCTCTTGATATATTTATACTAAGAAATTTCATTCATGATGGTAAAATGAAGTTCAAAGAGGTAAACTGAATTACATATAACTTTTGAAACTATATACATTCAAAGCTTAGGGAACCATTTTAGTTGTTAAAAGTGTTCATTTCAGGCCAGGTGTGGTGGCTCACACCTGTAATCCCAGCACTTTGGGAGGTGGGAGGATCGCTTGAGTCCAGGAATTCAAAGCTATGATTGTTCCACTGCACTCCAGCCCGGGTGACTCTGTCCCTTCCCTCTCAAAAAAAAAAAAAGTGTTCATTTCAATTAGTAAGTTTAACTAAATTTCCAAATGAAGTAAAATTGAAGAGACACATTTTAAGTACATTCAGTCTGCCTAGGTGGTCACATTCTTACATATGAAAAATGGATTAGGGCAATAGGCAACAGGCAGAGGAGGGAAGTAGGTTGGCAGCTGGCAAGTCGCTGGTACCTTAAATGTGGATGAGTGCCAGGCCTATAAACCTGAGAGTTGGGTGTCTGGATTGTTACTATGTGATAGTTGAGAAGCACAGAGTGCACCATCTGCAGGTTTATATTAATGGTTTTTATATTTTTTTGACTATGACTGTAAGAAATGCATTTACCCTGCAAACGGTACACATGCACACATAAATGAAACAAAGATTTTTTATGAAACAATATTTAACTACATTTCAAGCCACATACATATGTTCTACTATATTTCATTTTTTAAAAACACTGTTCATGATTCAAAAATCAATTTAATAACCCACAAATGGGTATGAAAGCCAATATGAAAAATATTGGTTTATATCCCCGAGAGCAGAAATCCTTAGTATTTTGTGCATACATGAATTTTCCAGGAAGAAAAGCTATAGCTCTACTCAGAATCTCAAAGGAGTTTGTGACTCAAAGTTTAGAGCCCACTGGACAATCATGGCATGACTTTCCAACATTGTACAACATGTTGTGTTGGATTTTGGTGTCACATTCTATTCAAGCAATTTTCTCAAAATTTAACAGAGAAAGGATATAAAAGGCTGGGAGAGCACAGTATATACAGAATCTAAGGAAACACGGCTAAAATCTATTTTCAGAAGAAAAAGAACCTTGAAAATTCAAAAATCTAACACTGACAAATTTTATATTAAGAAAGCACCCATTTCTCATTTTAAAAAATAGTAATGTTTGAAATAATATTTCCTTACATGGACCAAAGTTTTCTTTTTAAAACAAAATTTGGTTCTGATAACCTAGCTACATTCTATCCTTAGACATGATAAATATTAATCTCAAAAAAAAGGAGTTGGAGCTAAATTTTCAAAATCACAAGCTTCCCGATATTTACCCAGGAGTTACAGGTGATGGGTGGGGAAGCTGTAAAGGCAGCAGACTGAGGTGGACCTGCAGAGCAGCAAGAGGCTGTGAATTCTAAAATGACCAACAAAGCATCTTCCAGACTGCAGCAGTCAACTAAGTGGCCACGATCACACGCTTTTATACATTTCAAAATTTCAGTGATCATTTAGAATAACTCTTAGAATTTACAATGGGATATAGGATATGGAATTTACTTTGTAACCTTAATCATAATTTTCGCTCTATTTTTATCCTGTGTTTTGATTTATAAAATCAAGAATGTAAAAACTGATATTATATCAACATTATCATCCAATTTTAAAGTAGAATTATGACAAAATATTCTAATTGGATCAAAACCACACTCTGTGGCCCACTGGCAAGACGGGACCTGTGTCAGGCCACCCAGTTTCCTCTCATTGCTGCACCTACAGTTCCGGCGCAGCCAGCGGTAGAGGCTCCCGCCCACGGCCTACCTGTCTTCCCAGTTGCACTTCATACCAGGCAGTCTCTACTCACTTCTCCCAGCCATGTCTTGCCAAGATTCAAAGTCAAACATTTGTTTCCTTCGTGAATCTTGCCTAACACAAGAAGGATGCTGGGCTTTTCTCATCCACTTTGCCCAAGCATAATATAAGCAAGGTTATGCCTTGTCATGCTGAAAAGAGTCTCATTCCTGGGTGAAAGGGAAGCCCCAGAGCATCCTGGAACATTACAGATGAAGGGATCTTAGTGATTTGCCTGAGGCAACTTAGGCCCAAAGAGATTAAGTGAGTTGCCCAAGGTCACATGCCTAGTGACTCAGCCAGAAAGGGAATCCAGGTTTCTTGACTTTGAGAAATCACTATTCTTCCTATTTCAAAAAACGGTGATGTAATCTAATTTCTTCAGAATGACCATATAATCTTAAATGAAAGATAATTTCCAGAGATATCAGACACAGATGAAACTTTCCAACCAAATAGCACCTTCTCACATAATTGAGGAATTTTATAGAAGGTATATACATTAATTTAAGTGGAATAAGAATAATTTTCTTCATCAGATTTAGAGCAGCACAGACATGCACAGCGGAAAAGGCATGCTTACATCCATCAGCAATGGCAGGCGCGTCACCCGCTGCATGGGGAGAATGAGAAAAGAGATCATGGGCAAGTTCCTACAGTCTTCATGTGACTCGATCCTTGATAATACTTCTTTAAAGGATGGGTTGGTGGCTCTGAGAAAAAAACAAAGAAAAAAGAAACTTCAAAATATTTCCTCCTCAAGTTAAGAAGTAAAAATGTATTACAAAATACTGTGAAAAATTCATGTACTATCAATGATATTTAAATGAATATATGAAAACTTAAACATAATTATATAAGCAAATACGAATGGCTTATCTGCCTTTTATATTCAAGGCTAAATATTAGATGTGAGATTCACATAAAAATAACAATAAGATAAAAATATATAAGCTAGAATGTTATAGAAGTGGAAAGTGAACAAATGAAGAGGCCATGGTATCACAATGGTGAACATATCATTTACAAATTAGTACACAGATCTCGTATCTGATCATCTATAAACACATCCCATTAATAAGATAGCAAATAATATGTTTTAAATCACTCCTTTAGCCATAGACAATGATCTAAGAAATTATCAGTTAGGCTGGACTTATTACTGGGAGGTGTTTCTCTTTCCAAGACAGAAAACCAGCCAGAATATTTCTCTCCCTCTCCTATTGACATAGGAACAGTGACAATACTGCCCCAAGGTTTTTAATGGAAGCTAGCAAAGTACTGTGACATATATTATTGCATGTGAACCACCTACATAACTTTTAAGGAAAGCCAGGCTGGGATTGCAGTATGAGACTCGGAAAGGCCCCTATTTTGCTAAGTCTTCGGACTCTCGATCTGATCCCCTTACCCCCCACCTCTCACTCTCTCACCAAACTTCACCCCTGAGGAGCTCTGCAGAGGCCCACTGCCACTTTCCAAGGGCATTTCAACAGGCAAGAGAGGTTAGGGGGTGGAAATGGATATTGTATTCCCTTGGTCTGCAGAAAAAAGAGCCAGGAAGCAGGAAAGTGGCAATAGTAAGCTTTTTTTAAAAAAATGTTTTCTGAAAATTAAATGATTTGGTTCAAGGCTACTAAATTAAGAAATACCCAGAATAACAAATTAAAAGAAATTACACAAAAATGTTTTATTTTCATTTTTCTCAAATTGAGAAGTTTTAAAGTTTCCTTTCCCTGATAGCTTTGAAAAGATTTTTAGGAAGTTAAAAAAAAAAAAAAATCAAACTCTAACCTGGTTGTATATCTAAATCACTCAGGTCCCAGGTCCCCTCCCCTACCTCCCAAAGGTTCTGATTAAATGGTCTGGGATGCACTCCGGGTACTGTTTATCAGCTCATTTTCAAAGATTCCCAGGCGTTTCTAACATGCAGCTGAAAATGAAAGTCACTACTGTAACCTTAAATTCACGTCAATTGCAACAAAGCCCCTGAAAACACAATTACTAGTTTCCATGCGAAAGCTGACATGATAGTATCATTAAGCTAATTTAAACAAAACTTCTATTTTTAAGAGTCACATAATGTATAGCAGTATTTATTCGCATTTTTAAATGCTGTAAAACAAAATGACAAGCAAATTTAGTTCTAATACAAACATGAGCTTGCATTTTTTAACAATTTTACAGCAACCTCTGTCCCTGTATCAGGGTTGGGGGTGGGGGGAGGGTTAGGGGAAGTGAAGGGTGTGATTTTGCCCCCAGGGGACCTTCTGCAATGTCTGCAGACAGACATTTTTGGCATCTAGCAGATAGAGGCCAGGGATGCTGTTAAACATCCTGCAATGCATAGGGCAGCCCACCACAAAGATTTACCCGGCTCCAATGTCAATAGTGAGAACAAACCCAGCTTTGTACTAAAAACCTCATTTAGGGTTGGCAGCTGTGGGTTTTCCACTGTCCATATGAGAATTTCATGAGGATGTGGAGGAGAGAGGGGGCATAATCAGCCCCTCTCACCAACTTGGGGGCTTTGACTATTTCTCCAAGCAGCCATGAGGTAATCACCACCCCCACCCCCTCCACAGGGGTCTCACACATTGCATAGAAGCTGACCAAAGCTCCATGCTCTGGTCATAAATGCCCAACTCACAGGAGGGGGTGAGAATGATAATAGCCAGTAAGCCCCCACACTGGGTTTACAGCAATGCTCAGCTGTGCTGTAAAACAAACAGCTACTTCTGATGAACAGGGGCCCTAAAAATTAATATACATATTACTGAACAAGCGCTGACTCTTTTAAGGATAGAGATGGCATACGTATCAAACCTAACCTAAAAAGAACAAAAAGAAGAGGTGTGGAGGGAAATTTAGTGCTTGTCTCTTTTTTGTTGCATAATTAAAACCTTTAAGAACATTTTTTTTCTATTGCTTTCCTTCAGACCTTCAGTCTTCTCCTAGCCCTAACTTGCCACAGGGAAAAATCAGCAGTTTTATAAACAACGTATTATAGTTGTCAACTGAATGGAGGAAGATGAGAATAGTAGAGAAAATCCTGCATCCTACCTTCTAGCTCCATCTACTCAAGAATCCGCTCTAGGCCTCCGGCAAACCACCTAATTGCCAGTTAACGGTTTAGAAAACTGAGGGGTTTGGAGGGATGACCAATTCTGTGTCTTGCAGCAATTAAAAAAAAAAAAAAAACAACAAAGAGAACAACAAATACAAACTATAATTTCACTGGCAAGAAAATTCTCCACACACTGGATTTTTCTGCTCAAACAGCCTTACCCTAAAAGTAACCCTCATTAACATTTCTCCCCTGGGAAGCAGCCCATCAAATGACATTTCTAAATATGATTTAAAAGACCAACTAACTTCAGTCAATGTGTCCTAATTAAAACTAGGTTAGACTACTAAAACTGTAGCAGTCAACGTGGCTTACAACAATTTTTGTAGTGTTCGTTGTTGATATACTTCATTTGTGCAGTATTTCACATATGGGTCAAATGTGGATGCTGTATGTTTTTCCACAATGTCACTTATATCATCTATGAAGATATTATTCTGATGTCTTGCTTCCAACTCTATAAAGAATCTGAAAAAAAGAAAAAAAAAATCATTTACATTTCTTCCATATACTTTAAGAGAAAACAGATTATCCTTATGTAATGCCATTATACAGGGTTGGAAAATATCAAAAATACATAATTCCAACTCAAAAAGGTCCCCCCAAAAAACTATTAAAATTTTGTCTAAATTTAAATCTATCATAGTAACACCTTATTGCTTTAAGTGTGTGGTTTCAAACATTGATAATTTCGGGCATTTCTCTGCCTTCAGGTACATTTTAGAATAAACGAATTTGACTATTTTTCAAGAATTCCCTGGATATGAGGGGGAGGGAGTTCATGCTTATATATTTTATTGTATTGAAAGGCACATGAGCAAAACACCTGAATAAATGTTTAAAAATCAAATCTTAAATAAACCTAACTCTATGTGTCCTTTCTCTCAAGATAAAAATAATCACATTATTTGAAATCTAATAATAAGCATGGTATTTAAATGTCTTCATAATTTATGCAGATTGCAATTCAGGGTTACCAGATCTAGATAGACAGCAATTTAGAGTCACCAGATTTAGTATTCATATGTATGTATATATCTCTCTATATATCATATATATGTATACATCTATATATACATCTATATATCATATATATGGCCATTGTTTATCCATTCACCTGTTGATGGACACTTGGATAGTTTCCATCTTTTGGCTACCATGAATAGTGCTACTATGAACACTCATACAAATACCTGTTTGAGTCTCAGTTTTCAAATCTTTGGAGTATACAACCAGAGGTAGAATTTTAACCACACTGACTCTGTGCCAATAATAGTATACATATATATCAAGAAATGATAGCATAATACCTAGGACCAATATAGAAAAAGGTGAGTTAGATGCCAAGAAGTGTTAGTTCACTAAACGAAAGGTGAGTAACAAATGCCCCTTTCCCTCGCAGCACTCAAGTTGAGAGACAGCTGGGAAGCCCGGAGCCAATCACAATACTGGATCTGTAACAGAGGTGTGGTATAATAGAAAACGAATATTTGGTCTTCAACCCTTGTTCCTAGAACACGGCTCCTAAAACCCTTGGAATCTCCAGTGGTAAGAGTGTCTTTTGTATGCTAGTGAGATGCCTGGTGGCTGAGGTCCCCAGAAAGACCAAGCCATGATTACAGAATTGGAACTTTCAGCTCCTGTCTCCTACTTCCAGGCAGGGAAGAGGCAGAAAGTTGAGTTCAATCACCACGGGCCAATAATTTAATCGATTGTGCCTATATAACAAAACCTCCATAAAAATCCCTAACTGATGGGGTTGGAAAGGGGTGGTGAACACCTGGAGGTGCAGGGAGAGTGGTGGCCCAGAGGTGGCGTGGGAGCTCTGCAGTGCCAGTCCCCACCCTGCCCTACAACGTCTCTTACATTTGGCTATTCCTGAGTTGTGTCCTTTATAATAAAGCAGAATAGTAAGTAAAGTGCCTTCTTGAGTTTTGTGAGCTGTTCCGGCAAATCATAGAGCCTGAAAGAGGGCTGGATGACAGGATCCCTCGACTCTGTAGCCAAGCAGGAGAGAAATACAGGTAACCTGTGGATACAATACTTGCAAATGGCATCTGAAGTGAGGGCAATCTTGTGGGATTGAGCCCCTAAACCTGTTTCCGGAGAGTTGGAGAATTGATTGGTATGAGAATAAAACCCCACACATTTGGTATCAGAAGCATGGTGAGTAAAAACAGTTCAAGAGGCGTATAACGGAAACTCCAGAGGGCAGGGTCACCAACTGGGCAGTACACACAGGTAAGGAAACGTGTGCACTGGGAGCTGGGTCATCAGTGCTAAGGATGACACGAAGGGAACGGAGGAAGCAACGTGGGCACAGGCGTGATCTTGCTGGGGGACTGTGGGTAGCTCAGTGAGGTGAGGTCTGGACTCCAGGAGGAACAAAGGCAGAGAAAGGAGACTGCAGAGCAGGCTTGAGCTGGACTGCAAAGGTTTTACTGTACATTGAGGAGCTTAGGCTTTCTTTAATCTGCAGACAGAGAGAAAGCACTGTAGGTATGGAAGCCAATATATCACTTAATGAGACAAAGAAAATTGGGACAGAGGAAGGATGGATCACAAGGAGAGAGAGACAGATGGCAAGCAAGCCAGTTAGATGGCTAATCTGGGCAAGAGATGATAAAGCCTGGCAGTGGGGAAATCAAAAAAAGAGGACACAGATTAAAGTAACAATGTGGAGATAAAAGTAATAGATTCGAAAAACCCACTAGAGGCCGGGGCTCAGTGGCTCACGCCTGTAATCCTAGCACTCTGGGAGACTGAGGTGGGAGGATCGCTTGAGATCAGGAGTTCAAGACCAGCCTGAGCAAGAGAGAGACCCTGTCTCTACTACAAATAGAAAAAAATTAGCTGAACAACTAAAAAGAGAAACAAAAAATTAGCCAGGCGTGGTGGCGCGTGCCTGTGGTCCCAGCTACTCGGGAGGCTGAGGCAGAAGGATTGCTTGAACCCAGGAGTTTGAGGTTGCTGTGAGCTAGGCTGATGCCACGGCACTTTAGCCTGGGCAACAGAGTGAGACTCTGTCTCAAAGAAACAAAACAAAACAAAACAAAACAAAACACCATTAGATGGGAAGTAAAGGAAGATGCTGGGGTTCTGGGCAGTAAGGTGGGTCCTTAAACCATTAATGAAGACAGAGATTTAGGAGGTAGAAGGATAAGCAGGAAGAAAACTGTTTAATTTTGCCTTAGAAATGTCTAATGGCCAGCTGGAAATACGCAATGTGAAAATTCAGAGGAACTGGAATTCTAGGAGTCAGGAACTGGAATTCTATAGTCAGGAGTAGTCAGTCCGTTGTTAGCTGGTTTTCATATAAATGTGAAATGTTTAACTCTAATTGTTTTTTAATGTAAAATTTAAGAAAATTGTTCGAAGAAAACTTAAAAAGGAAGAAATCATTCATAAGGTCATTATCGTGCAATTCTAAGAAATAAATATCCTGAGGCAAATATCTCTTGCGGTTTCTTGTCTTTAACTAACTGTTAACAACCTGAAAGAATGTAGCTATTAATATATAACCAAAACAACAGTAACTGGGCTTTTCCCAAAGAAAAGGAAAATTTCATTTGTCACTATAAAAGGTTTGCCAAAGTACAAGACTAAAAACAAGGTACTAATGAAATATCTGTTTATGTCACTTACTTTAATATAATAGAAACCAAACCATCCATCTTTTATTCTTACATTAGCACAATCAAGACATTAATTTAATGCTTTCTATGTTAAACGATCTTTTGGTTATTTTGGCAAATTTGCATACTTTACTAAGTGAATTGAGCTACAAAAAGACCAAGAAAGTATTTAGAAGAATGAGGTATAATTTCAGGAACCAAGAATGCTGGTGATTTGAAAGCAAAAGTAAAAACATTCTGGTTCCCTGGATGAAAACTGAATGAAGTAATTCGACTTATCAGGTGGACAACTTTTTAATGGAAATATGTATTTCAGTTCAATGAATTTTTTTCTGGAATAACACTCTCATTATTTCCTCTTTGTAGTATTACAAAGGATGGTTATGTTTTGCAACCAATTGTATTACACAATCTTTTTTTTTTCCCCTCTACCAAATTTCTAATCTCATCCCTAACATCTAGATTTTAAGAAACCTGTGACCAGAAAAAGCTGCCTAGAAACATTCCCTCCTGACCAGAAACACAAGTGACTCCTAACCAGAAACACAAGTCAGCCCTGGTTGACCATTAACTCACCATCGCCAGCACAATCACACCCATACTTCAAATCGGTGCTTTAAATGGTTGCAGTCTGCCCAGGTGAGCTCCTAAGCTGTGCAGATAATGGTCAGACACCAAGGACATAAGGTCAGTCTCCAAGGAGGTTCAAGATGATTCTACTAAAGCCCATGTTTTAAGAAAGAGCCTGATGTGCAGCCTGTTTATGGTCTTTTTAACCTTTCCTCTAATATTTCCTAGAACTGCAGGGATTATATATTCTTTAGGTTTTTTGTGGTTGCTTTATCAAATGATGGTCTTAAATGTGGCATTGCATTTTTGAGGAAAAAGCAAAATCAATAGTGAAGTAGCAACTCCTAATACACCCAGTGTGTGTACCTTTGTTAGATACATTTTTGCCCCATGTAGTAGACAGAAAAGACCTACAAATGTGCTGTATCAATGTCCCCCATATCATTACTGACAGCCTTAAAATTCAACTGGTTATGTAGCTGGCATGTCAGATAGAGCATTCCTGATTGCTCTTGAAAAGACTGTAAAGCTCACCAATCTATACAGGAGATTAAAACTTATTTAATGTAGACAAAAAAAATATATCTGGTTTAATCAGTCAACCAAAAAAATCTCCCTTGTGTCTAGCACAGGGTGACAGGCATTGGTGGATGTCAAGGAGCAAACACTTGCTAAATATGACCATCATTCACTGTGCCAGGACCAGTGCTGTGTGCTCTCTCCCCATCTACTGTCTCATTTCATTAAATCCCTAAGCCTTCTTTATGACGTGGCCATTATACTCATTTTACAGATAAGAATGCCAAGGTTAAGAGAGCTTTAAGTCACAACTCTAAGCAACTGAGCCTCAGTTTGAACCCAGAGCCCTGCCTGTGCTAGAACCACCACACTTGCTGCCTCTCCTCTCAGGGGTGAGCTGATCTTGCCTACCTGGTTAACACTGGTCAACCCACAACCGAGACATCCAGCAAGAAGAGTAACAGCTGGAACTGAAAAGAAATATGTTACTTTCCAAGAAGACCAATGTTGAATGGTCTCAGCAGGCAAATTACACAAATCAACATAGTGAAGACTTTCATGGAAGATTTATGTCTCGGCAAGATGTGCAGACAACAGAGGAGTCAACAATCACACTAGGTACAGCCTCCAGGAAAAATACCGAGGAGGGTCACAGCGCAATGTGCTCTGGTCCTGGATGACACAGCATGATCAAGTGCTGGTTTACAGGGACTCTGTGAAACTCTCTGGGGTCATTCGTTTTGG